GGGCAATTTTCTTTCATCAAATTTTTCTTAAACTTTTCCAATTAAATTTACACTAATCGCTTTTGATCGCGTAAAGGGCTTACGATTCGACAACATCGCACCTATCTTTTTAATTAGTCCTTAATTAAACCTCTCATCAATAGCAGCTTTTATTTCCCCGAGATTTTCAGGGCTGTTCTGTAGTTACGGCAAATTTTCCCCACTTACACTCTTAACCGTACAAACTATATATGTATTTGTCACTCTTTTCATCACTTCCTTGTATGGCTCATATTTCCTCACCTATATTGAAAAAGTATAATGCATTTTCATTATGGATAGAAAATGTGGATGCTTTTCCACCGGATATCCCCCTCCCACTCCACCGTTCGTTCCTCTACGCCGGTGTAAAGCGGCGATGCGCAACCCTGCCGCGCGCGCACGCTCAGCGGCGGGCCGGCCGCGGCGCGCCCCGCCAGCCCATAGCCTCACGTCGTCATTGGGCCGTTTGTGACCTTACGCTTCAAGATACGGCAAAACGGACGAAATTTCTGCCCTAAAAGGGCCGTAACTTGCCATTTTCCTTCAGAATTGACGTGTCGCTAGCCAAAATTTTTGAATTTTGGGTTTAGGCCCTTTAGGCCCTTTGAGGCACGGGTTAAAATTTTTTTAAATTTTTTTCCTTTTAGGGGGTTCATTTAGAGACCACATAGAAACTTTTTACGGGTTGACCAACTTGATTTTCGGAAAACTCAAAAATAAGGCACACCCTAATGTACGTATGTACGTATGTACGTATGTACGTATGTACGTATGTACGTATGTATGTATGTATGGTTGGTTGGTATGTGCGTATGTACGTATGTACGTTATGTATGTACGTATGTACGTATGTATGTATGTATGGTTGGTTGGTTGGTAGATTATGTATGGTTGGTTGGTAGATACGTTTATTTGGTGCTTTTAACAATTTAGCCATGTATGTATGTATGGTTGGTTGGTAGATACGTTTATTTGGTGCTTTTAACAATTGAGCCATTAACACTTATGTATGTATATATGTTGTTTTTGTTGTTGTTGTTGTTGTTGTTGTTTGATACATTTACTTAAAGGTGCTTTAACATAACTCGGGTCATTTACACCTAATAGTAGAGATCAAAATATATGTATGTATGTATATATGTTGTTTTTGTTGTTGTTGTTGTTGTTGTTGTTGTTTGATACATTTACTTAAAGGTGCTTTAACATAACTCGGGTCATTTACACCTAATAGTAGAGATCAAAAACGAGAAATACAAAAAATTAAAAGAAAACTTATGCAAGTATGTATGTATTTTCGCTCTGAGAAGATTTTTCGATTTTTGAATAGTTTTAGTTTTCTTAAGTTGCAAGATGTTTTGACCAATTTTTTTGTATTCTGAGCCTCATCAGAGCTATAATTCTGCGAAAAAAATTGGAATTTGAAGCAATAAATTTTGAGGGGTGGGGCTCGAAAGGGGGATGAGAGAATTTAAATCTTGGCCACTCATTAACTCGAGTTTAAATAAATATTTGAAGCGGAAATTTTTGTGGATACTAGTTTTCCTTTAGGACTAGTTTGATATCGAATTTGAGCAAAATCACCTCAGCTGTTTAAAAATGGCAAGCTTTAAAAGGCGGGAGTTGCATGGCATGAGGGGAGCCGGCCGAAGCGGGGCCGCACAGTTGGTCAGGGAAAGAGAAAGTTTTTGGACTTCACACAGCTCGTCACACAGTGGTTCAGGAGGAGAAAGTTTTTGGACCAATTGTTCCCCGCTCAATGGGTCAGGGGAAGGAAGATTTTGGAGAAATTGTACGTCGCACACAGGGTAAGGGGAAGGAACTTTTTGGACGAAGTGTTCGTCGCACAGCGGGTCAGGAAAAGGAAATATCTGGAAAAACTATTCTTTGTACAATGGCTTACGAACGTACAATTCTATGACTACACCACTTCCACTTCGGGAAATACACTTGTTTCCCGCGGTGGATGCGCGGGACACTTTAAAAGAAGAAACAACTAGATGGGCACAAAACCCTGAAAAAACGCGCTCAAGGCGCGTGTCCTGGGGAGAGGGGGGTGAAAGGGCGAAGCCCCTCCCCCCCATTCCATAAAAAAACTATGAGGTTTCTTCTAGTTCTAGAAATCTTGCGTGAGTCTTGAGTGTTTCTTATCGAGATAAATGCTTTTCTGCACACAAAAATAAATGCTTAAATTTTGCATGGATATTATCATATGAAAATAAGCTTGTCAGTATATACCGGCGGAAATAAACAAATTGGTTTAAGAACGAAAAATACGATTCACCTTTGATTCGATTTACATGCCATATTAGGTACTTGGAAGTTGAAAAATTTGCCTATTTTATTTTGGTATTCATCAGAGTTCTATGGAAGACGAAGTGAGTACCGCATGTGAGATTATCTGTTTGGAGGTGAACTCTTCTCTATAAATTATTTGCACTGTTTTGCAGAGTGGGGGTGTCTCTACCCTCATCAGATGTCGCCTCTCGATGTTTCGCGCACGCCACAGCCATCAGAGAAATCGGCGCGGCGGTTTTCCCCGGGATATGAGCCTGAAGTGGAAAATCCCCGTGCTAGGCATCGAGCGGTGCGGCGCGGTAAACTACTCTTTAGGAGCCAGCCCTCTGTGCGGGGTAGGATCGGTGTCTTCATCGCTCACAATAGCTCGAACGCTACCCTTGCCGCTACAAAGTGCAAGTGATTCCGACTTTCCACGATTCTTCCCATCTCGGACAGACTATAGTTCCGAATTATGTCAATGAGACTCAGAGAGTATGGAAGGTTAGAGGCCCGACTGGATAGGGAAGAATTGAAACAGAAATTGAGCCGTGAGCAAGAAGTTGCGTACGTTGGCGCGAGAGTGGGCGGCGAGCAAGAGGTGCGGACGAACGATGTATGAAAAATTGCCGACGTGGAGGTGGTCCGGCAGCAACGTACCCGCCGCCAGTCTCTAAGAAACAGTAGAAAATAGTAGTTGCGTACGTTGCCAGCGAGCGCGATGCGAGCGCTTCTGTTGCAATTACTTAGCATTGAGTCGGGCCCCTAACCTTCCATGGCTGTCGGCCTCCTGTGGTTTAGTGCCTAAAATATTGTTAGGTATGTATTCTCGCTCCCTATTTATAGGTAAACCCAGTTCAAAACTCAAAAATCAACATTAATTGATGCTCAGCGTGATTGAAAAGTAAACGTTTCAATGTATTGTTTTTTTTTATTATTATTTCTTATTGTAAGTACAGCTCATGTATGAAGGACCGTTTGTAGCTAAAGATACGAATGTTGTTGAAGTTAGATTTTCTGATTTCTGATTCAAAACTGATTTCTAAAGTTAATCAGTATTACAACTTATCATTTCCTTCACTTATGTTTTAAACTTCGTTTCTTTGTTACAGAAAGTCCTTGGAAAATCATGGTGATGGGAAGGGGCCCAGCCACTAGCCTTGGGCCAAAAATGTCTGTCATTGGTGAAGCAATTCGTCTTGTTGCTGTTGATTCCCTTGCATACTTCCAAATTAGTGCTGTTGGGTTCCATAAAGAAGATATACATGCTAGTGTCATCAGTAAGTTTGAATTTATGAGGGGCCCCATCATAACTTTTATTCCTTAAGAATACCATCCCTGACTCTATTTCCAACTCTGCAAAGATAGTCATGGAATAGGGTATACAGACAAATATTGATATCTGATACCCACACATTTTTTAAGGGGGATCATTCAAGGGGAGTCCCCCCCCCCCAGGAAGGGCAACTCGACACTTTCAAATGGTATCCCCCCTTTTGTGACACATCGTTGGAAAGAAAATGAAAAAGGCCCCGTGCAAACCGGAGATCAATCCAACTTTTCTTTCCAGAAATATTCAAGATCGAAGTTCCATTTCAACCAATTTTCAAGAATGTGATAAGTCCTGTTTGAAAAATCCCAAAGAGGCCGTCTACAGCAAAAAATTTGTAGAACTGCTACTGATCTCATATCCGCATTATCTGAGGATGTATTTCTCGTCAGTTTGCGGTGGGGGGGGGGAGGGGAAGAGGGCGGCGGCGCTCACCGCCTAAAAATACGACATAACGTCGTTGTTTTTCTTCGTCTCAAAGCGTGCTCAACGTCGTGCGTGTCAAAGTTTCGTGGAGAAACAGGAGCCGGTGTAATTCGGCTGTGAAATCAATCTACGAATTTTAAGCCTTAGATAGCCGCTTTGGGATTTTTCAAACAAAACTTATCAATTTTTGCAAATTGGTCGAAATGAAACTTTGATCGTGAATAACATGAGAACAAAAATTTGGATGGATCCGGTTTGCGCGAGTATTCTTCTCTTTTCATCAATGTGTAACTAAGGGGGTGTTGCCATTCGAAAATTTCAAATTGCCGCCTCGGGGGGGGGGGGGGGAGGCTCCCGTAAATGAGCTCCCCTAAAAATAATCAGCCTCTTGTCATAATGAGCAATAATTATTTAAACTGGAACCTTTCATCTCTTTTTGTTCAAAAGTTAACGGAGCTGTCCCAGCCAGCCAAAGGACTCTCGCCATTTGCATCCCGAAGTAATCGCTCCATGCTTGCTACGCGACTTGTTCTGCAAACCGCGACAAATACGCGAGTTTGAAATTTTGAAAGAACGAATAAGTCAAAGTTCCTGTCCAAAAATACCCCCAGCTATCGAATTTCACAAAAACCGATCAAACAGGAGCCGAGCCAATCTGTTCAGCGTGGTGCATGTATAAACAATTTCGCATAGGTGCGTTTGTGATAGACAAAGGGCCTTAACAGAAATTACCCGGTGAGGGCGGTGTGAGTTTAATGATCGTTCTTGATCCTCCATTGAAACAACACTTTTCACTCAGTGAGCTGTCATGGCGGTTCAATGCTCACCGCATTGCTCAGCATCTTTTGCGGCTGACTAATGGAGCATTGAGCGTTGAGGAGGTATACAAAGGCATGGAACAGTAGTTAGGCTTCAATTGGACTACAGGTAACTCCGCGGGTATTTCAACGAAATAATCTCCGTTGTCTATCCCGAACGCATCTTATCTCCCGTGCATATTAGCATAAGGAGAAACAACTTTTCTCTTCTTTGGGCTTTGGTGACAACTTTTTCTAAAATTGATATTTTGGACATGCATCGATGCCTCTTACCTTTATTCTTGCTAAGTTTGAAGGAAATCACTTCGACATTTTTTTTGTTAAGTCTTGATGATCTATCGTTATAGTCTAAGAGCCAGCTGCATTTTTGGCGCCACTACTCCGTCACGCTTGATACTTTGTGGAGACATAGTTCTGACCTTCCTAGTAACGGATTGGGCAATATCAGACTTCAAAAGTGGTTCCTCTGGCCGCTGCGGCCCCGAAAAATGGAAAGAAGCGCGCGATGAAATCGCACAATAGAGCCACTTTTCGGCTCCTGAAAAATACTTTGACATTGTCTCGTAACCTTTATATTGTACGCACGTATAGTTTAGGTATATATAAACTTCGTATTAGCCTGACAGACGAATTCAAGTTCATACGGCTGATCGGCAGACCCCAAAAATGGCTCTTCCATGCAAAAAAATCGAAAGAAAGAGCCCACTTTATGGCTCCTGAAAAATGCTTTAATGTTCTTTTTTAACTTTTATATTATGTATACGTATATTATATTGTACGCACGTATAGTATATAGGTACATATAATCTTAGTTTTAGCCTGGCAGACGAATTCGAGTTTATACGGCCGATCAGCAGACTCCAAAACCGGCTCCTCCGCGCAATAAAATCGAAAGAAAGAGCCACTTTAAGGCTCCTGATAAGTGCTTTATCGTTGTTTTTGAACCTTTAAATTGTACGCACGCATAGTTTGGGTATATGTGAACTTAGTTCTAGCTCGGCAGACGATTTCGAGTTCATGCGGCCGATCGCCAGGCCCCTGAAATGCGATAAAATCGAACGGTAGAGCCACTTTTCGGCTCCTGAAAAGTATTCTAACGTTCTTCCCTAACCTTTATATTGTGTATACGTATAGTATGGGTACATGTGAACTTAGTTCTAGCCCGGCAGACGATTTCGACTTCATGCGACCGATCGGCAGACCCCAAAAAGGGCTCTGGAAGCAATGAAAATTTAACGTGAAAATACTGGCCTAAACGATCCTTCTAGGGAACCGTAAAAGTTCTATTACCTTGTTCTGGTACTTTCATCATGTAAAACTGAAAAATACGGATAAAACTAAAGGTGAGTAGATTATGAGGTACCCCTTTTGCGGCAGATAAGTCTAAGGCCGTGTAGCCGATCGGTGAGACTCTGAATTTGCTTTTGAGAGCTTAAATGCGCCAAAAACTTGTCGTTGGAGCACACTTACTTTGCAGCCTTTTGAAGGTATTTCTAAGTCTTAAAACCATTATTATCGAAGACTGTTTAATAACATGGATAGTAATTTTTTTTTCTTTTTTTTTTCTTTTAAAGGTTTTATTAAGATACTTTTACAAAACTATCTATACATAAAATACAAATTTAAGAAAATATCTTAATTACAGTGTTCAATCTTATAGAGATTATATACTGATAGAAACAACAGCATCAGAGTCGAGATGTCAATGGACATTAAAATTAATGGAACAGCTTATCAGAATAGATAAAGAAAGAGGAATTGATATATCAATGAGGTTTCAACTACCTTGGTAAAAACCCTAAAAATAGATGTAACATGAAAAACATGCGTAAGTACATTTCATTGAAAAAAAAAGAAGAAAATATTAGTCTTAACAGAGATTAAATATTAGCAGAACACTGTTTTTGCCAGCATAAATCAAATTATAGGTGAATATTAGCCGTATGTTCATTTTTATTGCCCACAATTGGTTGCATGGAATGACATATATGTAACTTGTCACTTCGCCGCCAGAGTTAGTTGCACGAGATCACATATTTGTTATTCGGTTTTAAATCAATTTTTTAAAACCCATCTTGCATCTAATATTTCCTGTTGTCACCAAAAAAAAGTATGACGGGTGCTGCATATGCACATATTTGTTTCATTGTCATTCGAGCACTCGTACCAACCCAAATCCTGCGCCGAAAATGCGTTGCCAGAGCCGAGCTACGCAGCCCGGGGTTGCCGGAAAAAACACGTTTTTTAACCTAATTTTGTAACATTGGATTGGGCACCGTCATTTTTATCCCAAAGAAAATAACCTTGGGCTTGCATAGATGCATTTAGAAACATTGTTGCGCTCATACAGAATTTTTAAAAAAAGAAAATACGTTAAATTACATGTGTATACATGCAATAGAGAGTTAAACGGAATATCAGGTGTGACAAAAATGAGGAGAGCGAAAAAAATGACCAAATTCCCTGGAGGTTTTGAAACCTTCTCGATGAAGCTGAAAACCGTACCCAGCACATTCTCAGCACAGTAGTCTAACGGTTAAAGTTACTGGGTTCTGAAATCCTCTCCAGAGTTCGATCCTCAGTTGAAGTTGATGATTTAATCATAGGTTGCAATTTTTTATGGTGTAAAGCGGTCAAAGTACCCGCTAGGAGCAAACGAGGAGAGAAAGGAACAATTTTTTCTCTTTTTTTCCTCTGGTATCCCATCGAGAAAATCTTATTAAATGATCTGAAAATTTCAAGATCTGCCGTTCGCCCACATGAAGTCGGAATCATCTGCCGGGCTAGAATTAAGTTCACATGTACCCATACTATACGTATACACAATATAAAGGTTAGGGAAGAACGTTAGAATACTTTTCAGGAGCCGAAAAGTGGATCTACCGTTCGATTTTATCGCATTTTGGGGGCCTGGCGATCGGCCGCATGAACTCGAAATCGTCTGTCTCGATATGTGCCTTCATCACGTCAATACAAGCTATTTCATCTGAAACTCTTGTTTTATCCTTAATCGAACATTCCTTAGTCAGTTTGTCAATCCTGACTCAAAAAGATTGACTGGTGCCGAAATTATTTTCTCATTACTAACTTTATAACATGGTTACCGAAACCCATCGTTAATCATAAAATGCTGCCGAAACCCTGTTAATCATAACATGGTGCCGAAAACCATGTGTTCTTTATAACATTCCCGGGTTTCGGCACCAATGTTATAAAGAACACATGGTTTTCGGCACCATGTTATGATTAAAAGGGTTTCGGCAGCATGTTATGATTAATGATGGGTTTCGGTAACCATGTTATAAAGTTAGTAATGAGAAAATAATTTCGGCACCAGTCAATCTTTTTGAGTCAGGATTGACAAACTGACTAAGGAATGTTCGATTAAGGATAAAACAAGAGTTTCAGATGAAATAGCTTGTATTGACGTGATGAAGGCACATATCACGGATTTCACAAATTAAATGTCACTAAGTTAGTTACACAGCGTTAAAGTTGGAGTGAAGAGTTGCACTACTGATGGAATAAAACCGATTAGAGAGAAAGACACGGGTCGTGGATCGTAGGGATGTTAAAAAGACCAAAGAGAGAGTTACACAGGTCGTGGGTCGTAAGATGGTAAAAGACCAAGATTTTTAGGCAACCCACGCTTATATAGTCTTGCTGACGTCACGGGTGGTGAGACAACAAGGCTACGCGTGATTGGTTGGCTATAATCTATGTAGGTATCAGTTGCAAGTCTAGTAATTAATTTTATGGGGCATTATTAAAGATTGTACAGGGATAAAGTGAAAAAGTTGAAAATAAGGACTGGATTGACTGAAACTAGAGTTAAAAATGGAAATCGAAAAATGTAAGGGAAAAATATGCTGAGGTGTTGACAGCCGTGTGAACTTGAATTCGTCTGCCGGGCTAATACGAAGTTTATATGTACCTGAACTATACGTGCGTACAATATGAAGATTTAAAAACAACGTCAAAGCACTTTTCAGGCGCCATAAAGTGGGCTCTTTCTTTCGATTTTTTTGCATGGAAGAGCCATTTTTGGGGTCTGCCGATCAGCCGTATGAACTTGAATTCGTCTGTCGGGCTAATACGAAGTTTATATATACCTAAACTATACGTGCGTACAATATAAATGTTACGAAACAATGTCAAAGTACTTTTCAGGAGCCGAAAAGTGGCTCTATCGTGTGATTTTATCGCATGCTTTTTTCCGCTTTCAGAGAAACCCTTTTTGAAGTCTGATATTGCCCAATCCGTTACTAGGGAGGTCAGAACTATGTCTCCACAAAGTTTCAAGCGTAACGGAGTAGTGGCGCCAAAAATGCAGCTGGCTCTTAGACTATTACCGTTGCTTTATATTTTTAATATCATATACATGTATAAAATGACAAAATTATTTGGTTTTCGGCTACTCACAGTGAAAACAAATACTGAGCCTGTAGCTTACTTTCTCCTCAACAATATGCGAAATCAGGCCATGCATACAAAAAAAAAACGATGTGGAAAAGGATGTTAATTTTAAAAATTACCTTCACATGGTGAAAAATAAACAAACGTTTCGGTTATGACAATGGCCTTTACCAGTGCAAAAAAGTACAAAGATAGATAAATCTTTGGAAGGATGCATACAAGAAACCAAAAGAAAAAGCACTTAGGTTGCTACATGATGTTGAAAGTTCAAATCTACAAATAGGGAAAACAAAATTAGAAGCGAAATAGTAAAGCAATAAGCGCAATTTATAAAGTCACCCCATGAGTCGACGCCTTTTCATGAGTAGTTAGCAGGAAAAATAGTTTTTAGAAATGAATAATTTATAATAAAGACATGGGGCTTTTGTCAAGCAATGACTGTCAATCCTGTTGGAATTACCAATGTACTTTCTTTCAATTTTGCTTAGTCATTTCAGCACTTTGTGTTGCAGCAAATTTTTTGCTTGACTCTACAAGATGTCAGCAAACAAATTACATAGGGTGTCCCAAAAGGACTGCCCCTTTTTTCCCAGAGGGCGAAAGAAAGCAGATATCAAAATGCGGTTTAAGTGAGGTTATAGTCCTAGTAATTACCTATAAAACAAGACCAAGTTGAGCTCTGTAGCTTAAAATTTGACCGAGATACAGCATTTTGAAAATGACGTGTCAAGGTGGCGCCTACAGGATTTTCAACATTTTTTACGAAAGAAAAAACCAAGTTTAAGAATGAAACGGTTTTATTAAGAATGAGTTTACAGATTCTTACCGAGGTAGACAAAATTTACACTTCTTCATCAGATGACTCAGCTTTTCCTTCCTTCTCAAAGTATCTTCCTTCACTTTGTATGCAGCGCCGCATCCGTTCTTCCCATTTCGCGAGACTTTCCGCCGATTCGCGGCCGCCTGAAAAAGATTTAAACCAACGACCAATGCTACTTCTGTCCAAACAGTCGTCTTTATACACGCCTTTCATTTCATTAAAAGTGTCTTTTACTGACATTCCTCGACGAAAACAATAACGAATAACGTGGTGTTGTTCTTTTCTTAATTCGGTACTCATCGCGAAAGAAACTTCCAAAACGACAGAGGGATGAACTCAGACTGACGTGACGGGAAAGCTTGACCAACTTGGAAGGCACTAGCGGACACGTTTAATCCTGTCGTTGGTCTGCATACGGGCGCTTACACGTTGCCAAATGCCGCCTAAAACACAGTGTTGCCATATGTTTCTGGCCGCTTCTTTTTCTTTTTATAACCGTTTCATTCTTAAACTTGGTTTTTTCTTTCGTAAAAAATGTTGAAAATCCTGTAGGCGCCACCTTGACACGTCATTTTCAAAATGCTGCATCTCGGTCAAATTTTAAGCTACAGAGCTCAACTTGGTCTTGTTTTATAGGTAATTACCAGGACTATAACCTCACACAAACCGCATTTTGATATCTGCATTCTTTCGCCCTCTGCGGAAAAAGGGGCAGTACTTTTGGGACACCCTATGTATCAGAATTTTGGAAGGCCCTACTTTTGGTTCCAGACGTTAGTTGCGTGTGCAATGTGGTAAACATGCTCAGCCAAACTAGCAATTTATTTTTGATTAGCATTAACAATTAATGTTAGCAAGTAGCGAAACAGTAATTGAAGTTTCAGACTTATCTTGCAAAGTTAAAGAAGATGAACAATTCTATCAGTATTTCAATGCAATGAGTTTCCTTTAGGGGTATATTCATTGCAGTCCATGAGGTCCGAACATAAGTGTTTCCTTTCAATTTATGTATTTGATAGAACTAGATGAGCGTTGGAATGTTCAGTACCACTATACTTACCCACTTGAGTGTTTTGTTTGGTTTTTTCCCAGTATTGATTCTTGAAGTTTAGAGACATTTTTTTTAAAAACATTTTCCCTCTGAATTACCAATTGTGATTTGTAAATACATAGAATTCGATATGATGCAAAAATTCAAGTAGTGAAAGATCGAAAAAAAGTAGAGGTCCCTTTCAATTTCCCTCATTTATCTAAGAATGTCTGATTTTCAGGTCCTTCCAAGATATCAAGCTCTGCGAAGGTTGTGCCAGATGGTGAAAATGGGCTCTATCAGATTGAATTTACTCCTGTGGAGGTTGGCAGCCATCTCGTGGAAGTTAGTGTTGCAGGAGAGAAACTTCCTGCAGGACCTCTTGTCGCAAAAGTTTACAACGCTGGTTTAATCAAGGTTACAGATGTGACGAGTGGTGTAATCGGTCAGCCCTGCCAGTTCAGAGGTTAGTGCCCTTCATCTATTTTTACTTTCACATATTGTCTTATCATTACTTCTAGCTAGGTGAAAAGTCTTTTGTATACTTCCATGCACTTAGGGGGAACTGCGAGGGTACTGACTTTTCCAGAATTCCACCTTACCCCTTCTGTAAATGTGTATGATTTTTTGCAGTAATTTGCGTGGAGACAAAGTGTGAAAGAAATTTCATGTGTCCGAGGACTTGCTTATTATATGTATAATTGTTTGAAAATGCTGGAAGTTGGTTTCAAACTTTCTCCGAAGGAGCACGATTCTCATTTCTTGTGATCAAACATTTTTTTCATGAAGCTGCACTAACCATGTTCAACTCAAAGATTCCATTCTTTTTATCTTCATGTATTAGGGTAGCTCAGATTTTTCCTTTTTTAACCAGCACCTGTACCAGCACCAGGATCCTGTGAATCGAAATCATCACCCGTTTTTTTCTATTATTTACTCCTACAGCGCAAAGAAGTGAATTTTGTATAATCATAATTATGTGACCTCATTTTCAAGTAGTGTTTTATGATAATCATGCATTCCAACAGTCTAACAGTCTTTTTGATGAATTTCATTCACAGTTATTGACATTTCACCAACAGGAATTTGATATTTTAGTTGTTTTAAAAATATTTTATCACTGCAGCCGTCACTAAAAACAGGTCGCACTCCAATTCCTTTTTCAACTCTGCTACAAATGTGATGCTTACAGCCTTTTTACAACATTTACTGCATTAAAATCAGTTTTTTCTCAATGTCACACTTGTCCATCTATCTAAGTATGCAGGATAGGAGAACATGGGACAGCAAGGCTGCATCTGCACTCTTCGGCGGGGAAAGCAAAGCCAGAAAAAATCATAAATTACATAAAATACTCTTATGAGTTTCAGAGCAAGATTTAGGGTTAGAGTTTTCATCTCATGCACGTTTATCGGTGAGATCTTGCCGAGAGATCTTTACCAGTTTGTGTGGTCTTTGACCTTATCAGCAGATGTTACTCAGTTAAGGAGGCTAGTGTAGTATCTTGCAGAATCCTAGGTGGTACTAAATCCCTGTCATGGATATGCGGGAAGGTATACCTCCGAAGTGCAAGCCTTGCACCATCTCCCGTCTCTGCTGAACAACTCTCAAGATGAAACAAGGAAAACATCCAAAAAATTATTCATTGGACGGTTGAAGATGATAGAGTTGTGAAAGCATCGAGATGCAACTTCCTGCTCCCCTCAATTTTTTGGGTGTTTTTTTCTGTAAAGCAGTTTATTTCAACTTGATGACGCCTAAAGATTGAAGCATCAAAATGACAATAAATTCGCAAACAAAAAGAAATGCACTTCAGAAACGGATGTTGCTGCAACAACAAGAGAGGCATACTCTCTGGGACAAGGAGAAAAACTGCTAGTTTTGTTAGGGACCGCCAACAGCGTATTGTAGAGATTGAAAACTTCAAGACAAGCCAATCTTATGTGCCAGGCCCTAAGGGACAGCAGTCAAAGAGTTAACCTTTTCAATACTAGAAACATGTATACTTATACACCAGTTCGTGCTCTTCCTGGACCACTTGCATGTACGCATGTCTTATGGCTGAAAACGCACTAGGGACCTTCTGCCCCTCCTTGTTGATGGTACGGAGTAGGGATCTCGATATACTCTATCTGTGGGTGAGGATATGAACTAAAACTCCACTATATATGTGTCTAAGAAGGCTCAAAGTGCTCTAGGAATGTCATTCTTTTTCTTCACCCGGATTATGGGATGTGCGAAGAGACTATAATCTGGTATCAAATCAGTTAAATTTTTTATTTTTTGTGAGAGAATAAAATAATGATTTTCTTTTTAAGTGGATGCATCACAAGCCGGTGAGGGTCAGCTAGAAATCTCAATCAATGAAGGAGAGGTGCCAAATCACGTCACTGTGGTGGGAGGAGGAAGATGCCTTGTCAGTTTCACACCAGAACACAACAAACCTCATTTGATAGACATTAAATTTAATGGAGAAACTGTCAGTGGTAAGATTCTCACTTTTTTTAAAAAGGGGTACGTGCAAAACGGGCCATTTCACGCTCGTGTCGGATACCATTGAAACTTGCCCTATTCATTCATCTAACAATGCCTCATGTTTTCCCAAAGTTTCAAGTCCCCAAACAATTTTTGGGGGAAGTGGCGGGGGGTCAAAATTGAAAATCCGCTAAATTTTCGCGAATTTTTTACTCAAAAACTACTAAATATTTCAAAACGCGGTTTAAACGAGCGTTTTTAGCATGAAAAGAGCTTTCAGAAAATGTATAATATCATTGGGTTTTGTCGACTTAAACTCGTGTTATCGCCTCAAAAACGCCGGAACCCTATAAAATGACCCGCTTTTTTGTCACGTTCGGGCCGATCCCCAAAACACTCCATTTTTAATTTCTTTGAAAAGCTGATATGTTGTTCCTGACTCTCTATGGCACCTATATGTCTTTACCGTATCCTGGGGAAATGTTTTATTCGCGAGTTATAAGCGCGGAAAGGAGCATCGGCTATTTTGAACTGCGCGCGTCGCATGGGTTAGAAGGAGAACGCTATAGTCCCTTTATACTGAGAGTCAAGACAACACCCCTCATGGAGTCACAAACGGGAATAAAGATTACACAAATTGAACGTTTTTCGTAATCTTTGATCGGCTCATTCTTACATTCCTTTCTCCGTTCCTTCTCTCATTCCGTTTGTTCCTTGTCGAACCCGAAATTCCTCGGTCCATTCCAGATTATAATCTTTGCAATTGGTGAAAATGTAATCTTTATTCCCGTTTGTGACACTGTGAAGGCCTAAAATCCGGCTAACCAATCAGAAATGGATTCGCATTGTCTTGACTCTCAGTATAAAGGGACTCTAGAGAACGCCCCCTCCTGCTCAGTTCGGCGAATCACACTCCTCTGCCTACCTCGCATTGTTGCCACATGTCTCCTGATCCGTCACCGCGCGCAGTTTAAAATAGCCAATTTTCCCGACCTTCGCTCCTTTCCGCGCTTATAACTCGCGAACAATACGTTTCCCCAGGATACGGTAAAGACATATAGATGCCATAGAGAGTCAGGAACAACATATCAGCTTTTCAAAGAAATTAAAAATGGAGTATTTTGGGGATCGGTCCGAACGTGACAAAAAAGCGGGTCATTTAATAGCGTTCCGGCGCTTCGGAGGCGATAACTCGAGTTTAAGTCGACGAAACCCTATGATATTATACATTTTCTGAAAGCTCTTTTCACGCTGAAAACGCTCGTTTAAACAGCGTTTTGAAATATTTAGTAGTTTTTGAGTAAAAAATTCGCGAAAATTTAGCGGATTTTCAACTTTGACCTCCCGCCACTTCCCCCCAAAATATTTTGGAGACTTGAAACTTAGGGAAAACATGAGGCATTGTTAGATGAATGAATAGGGCAAGTTTCAATGGTATCCTCCATGTGCGTGAAATGGCCTGTTTTGCACGTACCCCTTTTGCTATTCCTCATTCCTTAGTGATAAATTGAAGCAAGCGTTCAATACAATGAGAGCATGGCCGTGCTGTACCACCACCACCACCTCTTCAACTGTATCAATTGAGCCCTTAAATTATCTTATTCCTCTGTTGGAATTTTGAAATGGCCTTTAATTTAAAACTGAATGCCCCCGATGTTTTTCATATTATAATTATTATTACTATTTTTTCTTCTCAAAAATAATTTTTTGGATTAAAACTGATTAAAAGACAGGCTGTTGTCTAGTCTTTTAATCCTAGAGCCTGTTAAATTGTTAAAAGTTGAGAGTTGTTAAACCCTTAAAATACATTTAGTGCCTAAACTACCATAGTAAGTTAGTCATACAATTAAAAATAATAATTTAAAAAGACATACATCGTAAACTAGTGTATAAGTACATTTCTCAGCCACTGCCCTGAGCTTAGGAATGATCTAGTGATATTTCAGGTGTGCAGGATCACAGCTTTCTGACTTCGAGTGTGAACCTCTTTACAGAGGTGGAGCTGCTCCAGATATTCCAAGAAAGAATGAGAGGTGATTCCTACAAGGTCTCTTAGATTAGAAACCGGATTTTGGTGATAACTAGCCAACAACGTCCGAATTAGGCTTCTTGGACTTTTCTAATAGCTGGAAATATATTTAAAAACGCTACTTTCACAAATTTGAAAAATCCTAATTAGCTTCGTTGGTATGTGACTTGAAGGAAGGCAACCTCATGGGTGTTCTTCTATTTTTATGTTTGACTGAACTTTTCTCTCTTTTTTCGGTCTTGCTGTACCTTTTTCAACCCACAAGGATGTTTGGAGTATAGTCTCCATATCGTAGCCATACACTCAAGTTTTGTCACCAAAAATTATCCTATCCAAAAATGTAGGATCATTTTTAGAACGTGAAAGCAGCTGAAGGGAAATTGACATTCGGTTAGATTTTTGTTCAACGGACAACAATCAAGGGGCAAGTGTACCTGAATCTCGATGCTTGTCCACACATTCTATCAAAATTGTATGTACAGAGCCTTCAGAAATATTACACTGTTCAGCAAGCTTGAAACGATAATTTTTGAGCACTTTTGCCTACACTTCTTCGACGTGGCAAATATCAGTTGCCGTTGATGGTCGATTCCCGTGCTCCTCATCTTCGACGGATTTCTTACCAGTTTTGTATCGTTTAACCCACTCAAAAAAATGAGAACAACTCATACAATGATCTTGATAAACTTTACTTAGCATACCAAAAGTTTCGATACAAGGTATATATCGAGTTTAAAACAAAATTTATTGTTAAATCTTTGCTCCATCAGTGATCGCATGATGAAAATCGCAGAACGTACCTGACTTACTCACATTCAAGGTGACACAGAATGGACACTGATCAAAATAAACAAAATCTGTGAATCACCGTTGCCAGATGATTCTGACAAATCACCGCTTACCTCCATTAAAACTCATGTAAAATATCCGGAGTTTATACCAAAACCTGGCAATGTTGCTGTGAATCTAGCGTTCTTCAGTATGTTATCAGCTATCAAGATAGTCCAAGGAAACTTCACTCCAGGGTGTCTACTGATACGTAAACGTACGTAAATACTCGTAAATACTCGTAAATACGTAAAATGTACACAAATTAACGGGTCGGTACGTAAAATGCGTTAAAAATACGTATTTTTTTCCGAAAGTACGTATTTTGAGTATGGTGCGCACAAGTCTGCGCGCGGCGGACAGAGCGTGCTCGTTTGAATTGTGTAGATTTAGCTCCGCTGGCTCCACCAGAGTGCCTTGCATGATACAGTGAGTGATGAGCTCTGATTGGTCCGCGACGATGCATGGTGTGCCGCGTTGGGTGGGCTCGATGCTTGGTGAAGTGTATCATGTTTATTTTTTATCCACGTCACAGCGTAACCTGCTCATCCTTTTTCGTGCTTCATGAAAATCAGGGATTATATTCTTTCCCAACTATTTTTTTTTTCTTTTACTAAAAGAAGAGTTTGTTTGGATTTTGTAAATTTCTTAAAGTATAATCTTGAAAGTTAAGACATTTGAATGCTCCTCCCCCCTTTTTACTGCAAAAAGAACTGCATTTTATTTACAACGTAATCAGTTTTTATAGAAACCTGTTTCTAGTCCTCATAATGAGATCATGATCAGTTTAAAAAATTAATTGCCTTAAAAGTGCGACAAGTTAGCAGTAAGCGCTGAGCAACTTTGTAATTGCACAAACGGCCAGTAAAAAAGTAAGTGGAGAAAATGTGCTACTTTTCTCGGGGTCATACATAAAAAATACATAATTTTTTTCTATACATAAAACGTACATAACTTTTTTTTAAGTGTCAGTAGACACCCTGTAGTTCGGTTGCACAATGGGCTAGTTTTCACCAAAATCCGATTTCTAATGGAACAGACCTTATATTATCGTGTATTTCTGTAAAGCTGTAATTATTATTATTTTATCCCCTCCCATTGTGTATAAATGTTCTCCAATCCATTTCTTCTTTTTTTAGGTTGCCCATTTGTTTGCGCAATATCGGATACCAGCCGAGTCAGCGTTGATTTTAGTTGCCTTGAATTGATCCCAGTAAATCAAGTTGCCAAATTTCACATGAATGTTGACAATTCTGGCTCAGCTGAACTTTCAGTCGCTGTCACTAGTAAGCCCTTTTTTATTTTCATCTTTTCGTTTTTGAATATTCTTCTTAAAATTTAAACAAATTTTATTAACTACATGCACAATGGTTAGTTTTTTTATTATGATTGACCTTATTGACCCTCTTAAATCTCTCATGAACATTCTCAAAGAATGTTTCTTCACTTGCACAGGGTCAGTCTGAAAATAGTCTGCTTATCGCTGAAAAACCCGCATTTATTGCCAAAACTGCTCCTCAGACTCATGTCTAGGCCACTATTATATTGGGATTAGGTCCAAAATTGGCCAAATCTTGTTTCAATTCATAAAAAATCCTTTAATGAGCAAGACAGCGAGAAGTTGCACGAATCCAGGGTGGGCCGATGAGTGATTTTTAACTATACTCCCCATTAAGCGAAAGAGAAGAGAAGGTAAAGTTATATTTTGTTTCGCTGCACTCTTGCTCCTTTCTATTAGTTTTACAAAGTTACCGCCTCTGAATTTTCCGACTTCCTTCGACACCCTATGAAATTTTTTTCTCTCTGAAAGTTATGTAAAATAATATCTTTGGTTAAATATTTTTTTGCTGTAAACTCTCAAAGAATGGTAAGTTTTCCAAGACCTATTCACAATTATCCTGTGCTTATTACAAATTTTGTATTTTTCTCGGAAATGCTTGTGTCAATAAAGTTGTCATTATTACAGGTCCAACGCATGAGTTGCCAGTGAAGGTGAGTGGCAATGTTCATTCTGGCTTTATAGCAGAATTTACACCTACAGAAGTAGGTCCTCATTCCATCTCAGTTGATTACAATTCTCATCCCATCTACGGAACTCCGTTCGTCAGTAAAGTTTATAATTCCAAGGAAGTTCTTGTAGGAACTGTACCGCAAGGACATGTCGGCAGCACTCTCCAATTCAAAGGTTAGTATCAATCATATCTAGGTTTGACAGGATAAGAGTTGATCAATGCTGCATCTGTCCTCTCAATGTTTTTGCTCCCTCTAATTTCCATAATATTACAGTAAAGTAAAGTCTAAAGCATTACCTTGCGAACATTACATTTTTTCATTCCAATTTTTTTCATGGCCGTGATCTTGAAGGAGGCCAATGCTGTTATGCTCTCCTCATTTGCTGAAATCAGGCAGATAATTTCTCTGGGGTCAAAAGCTTGAATTTATTTCAGGAATTTATCCAAAGCCAAAGAACGCAAAGGTCTCTGCTCATCAAATGAAGTTGTTGTTCAACTAAAATTCAAATTTATGAATGACAGGAAATTCCTCTTGTGTGTAGAGCACTGTTTCCCTAAAAGCCTGTCTCATTTTAAATCTAACTTGGACTTTTTGGCAGGCAAATGTGGATTAGATTGATCAACTTTTATTTCTCTTGAGTGTAACTTACCTTCCCTCCAAAATGAGGTTGTTTCTGTGTGAATGTAAGTGCAGATGTAGTGAAGGAACAAATCTTAGAAATTTTTATTAGTTCAGAGGATCTCATTGAAAATAGGCCATTTTCAGCACCAGCCTGATCTCTGGAATATTTTCAGGCTTTAAGGAGGATTACTTTCTGAGTCAGGAACACTGACGATTTTTGAGATCGGATAGTTAGGGGGAGAGGGTCAGACTTTAAACTGGCATATGGTTGGTTGTAAAGAGATGATCTTGGTCTCAAAATTTAGAGAATACTATAAACTTTTAGCCGATCTTTACGAAATTTGTCTGTTTTGAAATCTTCATCCATTTTTGCCACGTTGTTGTAGAAACAATGGATGAAAATGTCAAAACGGACCAATTTCGTGAAGATCGGTTAAAAGCTGATACTTTTCTTTAAAGTTTGAGACCAATATCATCTCTCTATGACAAACCTTTTACGAGATATACACTTCCGTTCACTACATATATTAAAACACTTAGCATATTTTTGTCAGAGTTCATTAGGGACAATGGCACAACCGATTTAAGTGATTCTTTTTTTGGATGAAAACTTTCGATCTGTAGATGAGCCAAAGCAAAAGCAACTGCCTTTGTTTTATCTTTTACACCAATTCTCCCATTTTTTACGTAATTTTCAAGAAGAACATTTTAAGACTAGCAAAGCCTGGAGCAATGCACCGGTTGAGAGTCCAATCCCCGCCTGTCGCCTCCCACCAGTACAGCCTTTGCTGCCCCGAGATTAGCCAAGTGTCCCCTCTCTTATGATCATCTATTGCCATCCTCACCTAACACCCAACCATTTACATTTCTTGCGACGCCACAGAGAATTTAAACAATGTGGTGGCAAGGCAGCCATCTTGAAGATTGGCTGTGACATAGAAATGTATATGGATTGGGGCTTTGTTTAATAAAATGTACGTTTCATAATGAAAACTGTATTATGACCTAGATTTAACATTGGAAGTCATATAATTGCACAATGACTATCAGGACTCTCAATTTCTGCTTTTTCATATTTCCAGGACATAGTCAATTATGGTTTTACCTCCAAACCTGACTTGTTTGTGATCACGGTGTCTCCAAGTCCGGACTTTACGGAAATAGTACTGATTTTTTAAGGGCGATCCAGAAATACTGAAAAAGTGTGGAAATTCCGTTTGAAGATCCGGAATTTTTTTCATTTTTTTGTTGTTTCAGTCGCAATTTGAGCGCGAAACTTAAATTGAAATTTTTCGAATTTCGTCAATTGGAGGTACTGAAAAAGTACCTAATTTTTCTATTGAGGAGAGTCTGAATCTCTTGGGAATGTACTGTGAAAGTTCTGATTTTTGGTTAACCTGTTTTAGTAGATACCCTGGTGATAAAAGTTGTTATTATGTTAAATACATATTCTTAGCTTACAAATTATTTCCTGTTTGTATTATCGATCACCATAATTTTTAAATTTTAATGTTAATCCTTTTTTCCACTCTGTGTCTTTGCTCTGTTTTTAATAATGAAGTTTCCTTTTTTTTCACAAATGAACGTCTGGATTATTCTTCCTCTAGTTGATGCAAGTCAAGCTGGAGAAGGAAACTTAGAAATAACGATCAGTGCAAGAGGAGCTAACATTCCAACCCAAGTCCATCCGCAAGGAAATGCTAAATTCATTGTAAGTTTCCTTCCCGTGGAACCGACTGATCATATTATAACAATACATTTCAACAAACAGCCTGTGCCAGGTGAGTAAATAAACTGTAAACCTCTCATTTGTCTCTCAATGGACCCTTAGACAGGTTGAGAATTTTAGTACCTCTCTCTAAGCATTCTCATCAAATTGAGTATCATGGGATAACCTTGCCAAAACGAGCATGTTGAACGAATTTTTATTGAGGTATGGCCATTTTAAGTCGTTTAGGGCATTTTAATACTGGAATATTGGAATATTTTGGCATCTCAAACTTTAGGACTCCACTTACTCCTTGGCTATAATTATATTTTGATTTTTAACTTCTGCAATTTTCAATTGAATGACAACTACCAGTATCCTGCTATTTCAAGACTTCCATCTGGAGAAAAAATTAGATTCTTTATGTCCTTATCATGCAACAAATCACTCTATCCATTATAGTTTCTAAACGGTAGGCAGATAAAGTTCAAAGTGGCCGAAAATAGTATATCCGCATCCTGCTAACAGATTTCTTTTAAACTTTTTTTGAAACGCCAAATATGAGTCCAATGCTAGTATTTCAAAATATTTATGGCAGGATACTGGTATTACGCTGCTTCCCCATTGAGTTTTCTTAAAATTTTGCTCAAATATCCCAATTGTCACTGAAACCGATCTTCCCACTAATTATCAGGCAAATGGCACCCTCTGATCTTCACTTCAATTCCCTGCTGCCAACCTTTTACCGGACGTCCACGCCACTTTCTCCTGGAATGGTTACTGTATTTCCTCTTCATTATTTAGGCTAGGTAATGCTTGTTAATAATCGGTATCTAGTTTTACATTTCAACTAGAATCGATAATCAATGTGTGTACCAACTAATTTAAGATGGTCTTAATGGACAAAAATTTGAGAATGTGTAAGTATGTACGTTTTTTTCAGAAAAATACATGAAGATGAGGAGTGGCACTGTCTCGAACCAACTGGCCTAACCCAGAAGTAGGAATGGACACCAAGAGAGACTAGATCAGTGCTGTTTCGGCCTAAAGTTAATGCTTCATGTCATAATTAACTTGTACATCAACTAACTTTCATACTTGAAGAATTTATCAATGTTAGCACTGATTTTTTTCTCGTGGAATCATTTTTAATATCTTAATTTTTTTTCAGGCTCTCCTTTCATAGCCAGTGTGGTTGGAGATTTTCCTCTTGTCACAGGCTCTGCATTATCTCGCGCTCCATTAGGCTCTGATTCATATTTCACCATGAGTAATGTTGCAGGAAGCTTAGACGACATAGAAGTAAACGTTGAAGGTAGTCTCTTGATATTTAGAACCACTTAAACTCATTCGATGTGCACTGTATTGTGTTTCCTTCCTCATGTTAATCTTGCATGCCTAAGTTCCATAATAGGATCACCAATGTTTAAAATCTAGGATGAAATCACTTTGCTTCTCCATCTCTTATGAGAGTTTTTTACAATAGTAAGGGACAATAATTTTTTATTGAGTTTCAGGGGGGTTATGCTTCCTGGTTGTCATGCAGCCTCCCCTCCCCCCCCCTCACAGGGACACTGAATGCCCTTACAATGTCGTGTCTGGAGTCATAATTCAAAAATTAATGGCAACAATCTCTTCTAGAGATTATTACCTGTCAATAGCTGCAAAATTTATGGAAATCACTGCAGTGAATCTCCGAAAAGAATTATGGCAAAAAGTGAAAATTTGGAGTCGGGGAGTTTACATCTCTGGTTTGAAATCGGACCAGTGAGAACGAAAACACACCAACTCGAAAAACTGAAAATAATCAAGGCACATACCAAAGTGCACAGTAGGTGAACAAGTGAATCTATGAAAAATAGCTTTGGTGCCAAAAGACAAGTTCTGAAGGACACTTTAAAGGTCCCAATTGAAACAGATGCTCTAAGTTCAATGACCTCTATGGAAATTGACTGTCTTTTCATCAAGTCTTCTCACATGTCTGTCAGATCAATTCATTCTTGGATGTCTACTGTTCAAAGATGAGTTTTCAACAAAAAAAAAAAAAATTCCCTAAGAAAAAAAAAAGAAAACAGAGAAAAGGCAAAAAGTAAAATTGGTTTTGTCTCAAGCCCTCTTTTGCTTTGATGGCTGTTTTTCCCCTTCCTTCTTTTTTGTCAATTGTGTTTAATTTTGTATAGCTGTCTTTTTGCTCGAGGTAATTATTCTGATAGAATTATTTCCATTAAAAATTTTTTTAATAATAAGACACACAGGCCATCAATTCTAATTATGGTCTATTATTCACAAATTGATGTTTCTATAAATATAAAAATATTTTATTTGAGTTTTAAAAGAGAAAAGTTAAAGTGAGTATTATTTACCGCAGGTTAATCCATTGACTTAAATCAAAAGCTTTGAGCAGCCTGCGCTATGTTGGGCCAGTTTTGGAATGACAACTTTAAGCCTTTTTTTCTCTCGGCAACGTGGTTTACAATAATTCAATGATACCATGATAGATAGCGTTCTGTCTGTGTTTATATGAGTAGTGTGATCAAATACAGGTTACTTTGTATTGTACTTAATTCATTACTTTTTTACTGTAGTTTTTATTTATTGCACAAGCAAACAAAGAGTAACTTCAAATTTTCCTGATTTATGCTCATCTCGAGTTTTTGTGCTTTTGTAAGCAATGAGTCAATAATATACTTATAGCATCTTGATTTTATTTTCTTGGTTTTCCTCAAGATCTATCATGAATCTTAACTTTTTGATTTTTAATTGAATTGGCTTGTGCCAAAACCACCAACGTCCATATTCTTTAATTTAGGGAGAACTGCAAAAAACTGTAGAAGCCTTATAAATGAGGGATTAAAAATTTTTCAGAAGTTAATTATTACAGGAGTGGATCGTAGAAAAGGATCCCTGACAGCCTCCAGCTCTTCTTCTGTCTGGGGCGGAGTAATTAAAAAGGAAGGACTCATGACATTAGCGATTTTCGCATGATACGAGAAAATCTCCAAGTTTAAGAGCCGTTTGATATTTTTAAAATTCATTCAATAGATATTAAAACGGTAGATTATCATTCAAATAAAGTTAAAAAAATAAAATTCTGGACAATTACGGCACTTGAAACAAGTTATATCATGAAACTATCCGCAGTAAATTGGACATAAGCGGTTTTTGCACGATTTGTGCGTGGATGGTACCAAAACATCAAAAACGCATATTTTTAAGTATGGTATGTATAAAAACATTTAAAAGAAAGTATTTTTAGAGTGGCAACTAATAAAAATAAACAAAATCAATCAAAGGAACCTCTTTAAGCGTCTCCTAACTTGCTACCATCACTCTCTTCATTGGAAGAGTTATTACACTGTTCAACAAAAAAATGAAAAAAATGTCTCTCAAAAATTTTCTAGAAAAGCTTCTTTTTCCCGGGAAAATTAGCAAATTTGACGTTCATTTGTCGCGCATGCAATTTATTCTTAAAAATTTTCCTGAACTTGTGGTAGTGCGTTACTCATGTATTTTGAGCTGTTGAATCCGAATATGACCCTGGTTTTTTCCTCTCACTCTCCAGTTTTGCGGTAAGGCCGATTCTCCCAAGCCTAAATTTCCCAGACTCCAAGAGTAATAAAAATACATTTTAAAAATGTCCCCAATAGGTGATACATCGATTCCCATGAATTGAACTGTTGAATTTAAATATTATGTCAGATTTTTCTATCACACATCCTTTTCCCCAGAAAAGTCGATTTTCCTGAGAAGACTTTCTCTTCAGGTATTTTTGCGATGATTACCCTGTTCTAACTTTGAGCGCAAGGTTTGCCATCAATGCAAGTTGGCCAGAGTGACTATCTTACATCCGTAATAAACATATTTGAGGAAAAATTTGCTCCTCCAATGATGGGATCGTTTTGAAACAGCGGGCACAGCCCGTCAAATACGAATGGCGAAATTTTTCGCCAAAATTAGTCTTCAAATTGATGTTTAGGCCAGCAATAGACCCCCAAATATACAGATAATGACCAAATCATGATACATTCCGTAAAATTTAGACTTCCGATAAGCAAAAATCGTAATATTGAAGACTTTCAGGGTGTGGGCCCAAAAACGGCCCTTATCGAAACCCCTGCTATCGCAAATCTCTTGATATCAATTGTCATTTACCGGTCTGCACCTCTAAATGGCCACCATGTTGGCAGCCATTTTCGATTCAGAGACTTAATTTCTTGTAGGAGTAAACATTTAATCTCCTATTCGAACTCCTTGACCCATAAAACGAAATTTTGAACGTATTGTTTATCACAGCTGCGGTGAATTGGTGTTGCAGCCGTAAATTCGGTGGCCATTTTGGGCGCTATATTTGATTTTAGGGTTTCTTGAGAGTCGCAGTGAAAAATGGACCTCATTTTCGGACTCTACGACCCTAAAAACCTAATAATTGATACCTCACTATGCACCTGGACCCATATATGCAAATTAGTACCCCTGAGTGGTATTTTTGGCCGCCATTTCGGATTTTGACCTGAAAATGACCTCAAGACTAACTTTGGACTGAAAATTCGGATTCTACGATCCAAAATACGTAAGAATCGACACCTGACACGACGTATTAGGAAACTTCAAATTTTTTTTACCCTAAAACCGCAATTTCGGCCGCCATCTTAAATTTGGGGAGGTTTGCGTGAAATTGGAGGTGGCCATCATCAATTTTCTTTTTTTAGACATCAAAACGAAGAGATTGATGTATGACACAATATGCCTTCACAAACTTGCACACGGGATATATGTTTTGTTACGTATGCCCCGTGACTATGAAAAAGGGCTCAAATCTCAAGCACGAACAGTTTCACCACATTAATGAGAGTATTTAACTCAAAAATCTCAAAATTAAAAAAAATATGGACATTAGCGTTTTTCGCACGAGCAGATTCAATTACAGGTTTAACAATTTGTTAGCACTTGTTTAATTAACTGATTTTCGCTCGTTTCAGCTAAAACAAGTATGTAGCCAAGTCATGCCTGTGCTCTCTCAAACAGTTCATAAGTCAATGGATTAAAAATGCGATCCAATTCATTTTGGTTTTTTGTTGCTCATCAATTTCTGGGAGTATTCTTTACAAAAGTTTCTAGCTGAGCTGTTTCTTCGCAACTTATTCTAATTCTGTCCCTGTTTTCTTCTTGCAGGTTCTAAACAACGACTTTCTCGACTATACTGAATCACCCTCTCCCGATTTTCCTCCCTCCTCACTCTATTTTTCTTGCCTTTGTAATTCTTGACTAACACCTCAGTATTACTGCGCTAACAATTTACCTTCAGTCTAATGCTGTGTCTCTCATCGCATCATATTTAAGTTCAGCATATGTATTAATGGCCTACTCACTCTAAATGCCTCTTGCGATATTCAAACTCTGCCAAAAAAGGATTACAGTTTACATATGTTCATCACTTGCCTCTGCTCTGCCTAGCAGATATTTAATTTAAAATCTGATTTTTCAGCAAATAAAACTAATGCTAATGAATATACTTATGGTACTGGTACTGGGGTGTAGAGCTCCTAACTCCTGACTCCTGACATCTACAAATTAGCCTCTTTTTACTTTTTTCATTTCTTTCCTGTCTCATTTGTCCTTCAACAAGTCAAACCCCTCAAACTTACCAATTTTGTCTTGTTTTCTGAATGTTTGTAGTGTTTTTACCTAGGGTGTCCAAAAAATCTTGTCGCCAACCTTCATCTGAGCAATCAGAGAAAGCCATTAAAGTGAAGATTTTGCAAGAGGAAAGATCATTTCAATAGCTTTCTGATGTGAACTTATTGAGCTCTTTTAGTATAGAAGTTGCTGATTTATAGTGATTTTAAGGCAAGAAGTTAAGGAGTTCAAGTACCCACCGAAAAATTGTCACTCTTTTCCAAGACAAAGAAAAGTAAGACTTTTCCCAAATCATGGGGCTCCAAGAAAATGAGAAAATAATTTTTTTCCATATCCAAGTAGGAGCTGTATTTAGTAATGAAAGTATTGAATCAGATATAGTAATAGTATACTTAGCAATGAGCTCGTTGCAAACTTTGCTCGAGCAAAAAGTAGAATTGTTTTTTACACAGGGTGATCCTAAAGTCCCAAAGAAAATGGATCAAAAATCATGCTGAGCGTATCGGGAAAATCTGAAGTACACTCCGAACATCACAATCTGCCTGAGAAATATGCGTGTTTTAAGTTTCCTGCTTCTAAAACGATACTGCAGGTCAGGTGAACATTTTGTGAGAAGAGTTGTTCCATCAAACCCCTCCGCCCTAGGATGCCACACAATATTCAACATGGCAGATGCCAACCAGCCCAAACTCACAGGACAGGATTTTATCAACTGGTGGGTTTACATTTTCATTTTCCTTGAGTCGATAAAGACTATGGTGTTTCCTCTTGATTTGCATGGAAGCATGAGTCATGTTGAATATTGTGTAGCATCCTAGTGCGCAAGGGTTGCATAGGACGACCTTTTTTACAAAATGTTCACCTGTGCCGTAGTATCGTTTTTGAAGCGGGAAGCTTAAAAAACGCATATTTCCCACGCAGATTGTGAAGTTGGAAGTACATTCCATTCTTCCCCATTAAGGTCATGTGCGATTTTTTAACCATTTTCTGTAAGAAACTATTCTTCTTTTTCTTTAGCTGAGGTTGGCAACAGACCTTTAAAATCGAGTAGCAACACTAAGTGATAGGGTATGGTGCAGCGTTGTCATGGAGACCAACAAAAGTCATGTCAGTTGTCAGACTTCCGAACTTCTTGACAAAGCTTATGCAATGAGCACTCAGCAACACAAAAATAACACTGTTCAACATAATGTTTTTGATTGAACAATATTTTGTAACTTCAGAAAATGAAGATTGCTGAGATTTTGATAATGCAAATTTGATAGGTGTTGATTGAGAGAGATAAATGAGAGATATTGAACAGTCAAGTGAGAAAAATTTTTGAGAAAATGAACCTCATTGCATTGGCTACAGGTCCATGTACGAGGTCTGTCCGGAAAGTATCCGACCTTGTTGATTATCTCGCCATCAACGGTTCATAAGAGATTGGGGCTTGGGATTATCTATGCACGGACTCTTCTGAGTACAGGTGAGCAGCTGGATTATCACACGTTCAATCAGTTGGTGGTGAGTCGCTGATTAGTACGTGTGCTTCTGCTGTCTACATCGGATTTCGTTTCCCCTAAAAGAGAGGAAGTTAAGAAGAGAGTGGTGGGAAGAATTTGTGAAGAAGGTCATTACAGGGGACGCAGGACGCGTCTTGGGTCGATGGGTACGACCCTGAGACAAATGTGCAATTGTCAGTTTGAATCGCAACTGCGACACCTTGCTGGAAAGAAGCTCGCAAGAGTCGCAGCAATGTGAAAATAATTTTGACTGTCTTCTTTGATCATGAAGGCGTCGTCTATCATGAGTGTGCTCCCCAATGCTCTACTATCATCAAAGAGAGCTACAAAGAATTTCTACGTAAGTACTAGTATCCTTGGGGAGTGTATTCATGATGGACGGCACCTTCATGATCGAAGGAGACAGTCAAAATTGTTTTTACATTGCTGCAACTCTTCCAAACGTTCTTTGGGCGAGGTGTCCTAGTTGCAATCCACACTGACGGTTGCCTTTTTGTCTCAGGGTCGCACCTGTGGACCCAAGATGTGTCCCTGTGATGATCCTCTTCACAAACTCCTCTCAACTTCCTCTTTTTTAGGAATAACGAAATCCGATGATCACAGCAGAATCGCATGAACTGAGCAGCAACTTACAAACGACTGATGGAACATGTCATAATCCGGCTGTGCACCTGCACTCAGGAGAGTCGGTGCAAAGATAATCCCAAGCCCCAACCTCTCATCAACCGTTGATGGCGAGATAATCAACAAGGTTGGATACTTTCCGGACAGACCTCGTATTATGCATAAAACTTGAAGGCTAACTTCAAGAATAAGAAGTAAGTTAAGTTTGCTGTTCAAAAGACAGACTTTCATAATTCCTTTCTCAAATTTACTAGATGTAGGATAATCTTATGCAATTTTTTTTTTTAGTTCTTTTTTATTTTTCCTTCTAAAAGGTGTTAAAATTCCCAAGGAAGTACCTGAACATGTACACATAATCTACATGGCTGTAAATCAATGAATTTTTACGAAATAAACTTAACAAGGTCGTGTTGGAAAGTTCATAAAATGATCTCTAAACTAATGCAACTTGCTTTTTGTTAACTTGATTTGTTTGTTCCTAAGAAGGTTAGCATTGAAATTCTTGGAATGCCTTATGTATTTTCACTATAATTTTTGCTGTATTCTATGCAGTTTTATTTCTTTTTCGGTTCATCAGGAATGTTTGAATTTCTAGAAATCTTTCTGTTTACCTATTACCCGCTTTTTTACTTCATGCTTGATCTTAAATGAAATTACAAGCCCAGTCATTGTTCTCTTAATCTTCAGCCCATATGGTAGACCAAAAGTAACAGAAAAAGGTCCTTAACTTTTGAACAGATCGAAATGAAAGGTTTTGCTGTCCAATTTTTCTCCTCGCTTAGATGTATCTTGGAGTATTAATCTCGGATGCGTTTCTGCGGTTCTAAACAACCTATTTTAGCGACTCGTAAGTGTCCAAGATTTAATCTTCAAGCAATGAACAAGTGAGGAAAAAAATGCAATTGCAGATCTTTAGTTCCTGTTTGAAACCCGATACTTGTTCCGTATGGAAGGTCCTGGTTTGAACTATTTTTTATTGTTCAAAGGGTCAAACTTTTCCAGAAGTTTTCTTTGGACTCGTCCTGAGGGAGGCACCTAAAAATTTTTGACCCTGTCCTTATGATACAGCATTAAAAAGGGTTAAAAAAAATAAATCACGATGCTAACAGCGGGTCTCCATCCATTATTGTCCAAAATGGCAGGCTGTTAAAATTTCAAAAACTTCAACAGTCCGTCAATTTTGAATGGTGACAGATGGGGCATCCCTGGTCATAGCTTCTCTCTTTCCAATGATGTTCCATTCCTTGGAAGTTTTTCGAAATAAAAATGTAACTTCTGAGAGGAGGTCATGTGTTGAAGAGGGGCGTTGAGGAGCCATCCGTATTTTTTTTTTTTTATTAACCTCGGTGTATGATGTATCATTGAAATATGTTGAAAAAAAATAAATCATTAAAAAAAAATTCCGCATGACCAGAGGCAAAACCTGGTACTATTTCAAGATAGTGGCCTGACTTTAGCGCCCAGAGAACACCCAAAAATAAGCCTTTCCCCGTCCCCCTAAGAAAAAATCTGCCCCTCTGCGCACTAAAGAGGAATCCAAACCCAGCTCTTTTATTTCTACTGTTTAAAAAATTTTGGATATTTTTTTAGTTATTTTGTGCTCATTCTATAATTAAGGCAGTTTTAAAACATAGACATGCCATTCTGTTTTACTTTACAAATAATAATAGTGACACAGGCTTTGATAAATGCTTATTCTCTCGGAAATTAATTCTATGCAAGGTTTCTCAGCCAGAGAATCTTAAGAAAAAGTGAGAGCTGCAAGGGCTTATTTTCTCAAGACTCTGTTTACTTTAAATAACCTAACTTATCATCCATCTAATTTATCTGAATTTCCACCGATCCATGAAAACTTACAGGTGGAGACACTTGTGAAGAAGAAAGTTAAGTCAGATCTTTCTGCTGAATTTTTGAATTTAACGTTTAGCTTTGGCATATCTTTATTATTTATATAATTTTGGTTTAAATCAACAATGAGCTTGCTAAGTCCATATTTTGTGGAACCGTACTATAAAATCCCAAAGAATTTTGATAATGTACACTTTTAATCCCATTTCCTGCGATATAAACTCATTTTTTTTCTTTTTTCCATTCATTAACCCTCTCTTTCAATAGTGTTGCTGACAGCTTAAAATTTGGAATTAAACTGCTGTAATGCCCTCACAATTTTTTCATAATCTGTCTGTACCTACTCATGATGTGCCTCAATGCTGTGCTATGCATGCATGTCGTTGTTATTTATTTTTGACAACACTAGCCAATCTAATCATTAACCAGTGTAACCTTTAATTTAAATTAACTGATAACTCAATTAGTTTATGATGAATTTATATGCACTCGATTAACAGGAAACTAAAATTTTAGGAAATAGCTGATAACATCTATTCTCTCCTCTCCCGCTTGGAATTGCACAAGATCTTCCTACTTCGACTAACAGTCCGTTTAACGTACTCTAGGTCCAACTGGACAGTCTGTCCCAGCGCAAGTTAAAGATGCCGGAAACCAAACTTTTAATGTTGAGTTTTGTCCACGTATTGTGGGTGAGCACAAAATTTCCATCAACTACTGCCAAGTTCCAATATCCGGCTCTCCATTCAGTTGTAAAGTCTACGATGTTAATGCAATCAAAGTCAAATCAGTGAAGAAAGGAACTGTCGGACATCCTGTAACGTTCATAGGTATGTGGATCTTGACTTGGTCATTTTCAAGAAGTGTAGCAGGATTTGTAAAAAGAGATCCAATTTTGATTTATAAACTTACAGAAAGTAACAATGAAGAAGTAGATCATGTAAAAGAATGTGCAGTCATGTGAAAATTTTTTTTTTTTTTTTATTCATGTAAATGTACATAGCAATTACACTTGAAATTTTCAGACCAGATAGGTCTTTATAAAATTTTACATTAACTTATACCTAATAAAGTATAATACACACCACTTTTTAGAGTTAATAACAGAATTCAAATATTGAGAGGGGATAAATTTACAAAAGAGATAAAGATTAGATAACTGAAACTAAAGTTAAGAAAATAGGGACATCAAGGTGAGAGCTAACTATTGAAAGAATGAATTTTACGAAAGTTACGAAGAGATTGTAAGAAATGAAAATTAAAAATAATTAACTTGAATGTTAAAAGAAAAAGGGAGAAAAAGTGGGAAAAACTAACAATGAATAGCTATGTGAATTCTCATGTGAGTTTTTTATTTAAGAGTGCGTGACCCCGTCAGTCGACAAAGACTAAATCGGGGGCCAGTGGCACGAGCCTAACACTGGCGAAAGCGAGCTGTTGCCAACTCGTCGGGTTTTCTTCTTTTAAGACGGCGTGGAGCCTTCATCCAGTCCAGGAGCGTTATCGCTTCCGGGTTAGGGTGTACTCCCAAACGCTCTTCATAGTTGTTGTACAACCTGGATATATATGAATCCATTTCTTCTATCCCGAGCTCGCTACGAATATCTGCGTTACGCTCGTACCACCTGGCCCCCGCCATTTGTCTTAAAATTTTGTTTTGTGTGCAAATTGGAAGATGCAGCACAGGCCCACATCTGACTGCCGTAGGTCCAGATTGGCCTTATCATGGATTTATAGAGTAATATTTTATTATTTAAGGATAATTTTGAACGCTTCCCAATGAGCCATAGCATTTGACGATGCTTTAATTCGATTTGCTTTTTTTTAGTCAGGATATGTTTTTTCCAGTTAAGTCTGCTATCCATGATAAGGCCAAGATAACGGGCCTCAAACGCGTGAGGGATGGCAGTGTTTTCGAGAATCAACGGTGTGTGAACGTAAGGGCGGAGGGTAAACACCACCTTCACCGACTTTGAAGCATTAAGCACGGTTCGATCATTATTCGTCCATTCTTGGATGTTATCCAGGCCCGACTGTAAGTATGTAACAGTCTCGTTGTATGTGGGGGCTGACGATGCTACGGCAGTATCGTCAGCAAAGATACCCAATTAACAATTTTTTGTTTTTGGGATGTCTGCTGTGAAAAGACTGTAAAGGAGAGGGGAGAGTACAGATCCCTGGGGTACCCCTGCTCTAATTGATTTAAATACAGAGTAAGCGTCTTCAAATCGGACTCTGAAAAAACGACTATCTAAGTAAGACATTAACAGTTTGACATGATTTCCAGGTAGCATTTTGGATAGTTTGAATGCCAGTTTTTGGTGCCACACTCGGTCGAATGCCTGGGCAACATCCAAGAACACGACTTTACAAAATTTCTTCTCTTCTAAAGATTTCTCAATGAAAGCAGAGATGCGATGGAGTTGCTCTATTGTACTGTGTTGTGGTCGGAATCCAAATTGCTCGTTAGGGAGAAGTTTTTTCTTCTTAACAATAGGAAAAAGTCTTTTAATATAGAGCTTTTCGAACAGTTTACTTCTAAGGGGCAACAAAGAAAAAGGTCTATAGGAGCTGGGTGCTGAAGGAGGTTTACCCGATTTAGTAGGACTATTACTTCAGCCTTTTTCCATTGTAGTGGTACATATTTTAAGGTTAAGACAGCGTTTAAAATAGTTGTTAATTTTCTAATTGCTGCTTCTGGAAGTTGTTTCGGCACAACACCCGATATGAGGTCAAAGCCAGGGCACTTTTTGATTTTTGTTTTATATTTGATTTCATTAAAAATGTCCTCAAAGTTAATTTTTTTAATTTTTTCATCGGGGAGGAATTGAATATCATTTACCTCGTTCAAAATTTCTCTCTCTCGTTCTGGGTCAGTACAGGGGTTTGGTTGAAACACTGATTCCAAATGGGCAGCAATTGTGTTTGCTTTTTCTTGGCTGTTGTTAGCCCATTCCCCGTTTGATTGTAAAATAGGGAAGCTTGTGTGGAAAAGGCGTTTCAGAGTTTTAGTTGCTTTCCACAGTGAGTAATCATTAATTTCTTTTGCACTTCAATCCCGAATAAATTTTTCGAACTGAGCGTTCCTGAATTCGTTGATGCGTTTTGTTACTGCTTTGTTCAATTGGTTGTAACGAACTTTGTCTGCGGGAAACAAGGAAGATTTTTTGCGTCGTGCAGCCCCCTTTTTCCTATCAATTAAACGAAGAATTTCTGCCGGAAGAGTACATTTTGGGTAAAAGTTCCCATTATTACGTGCAACTGGCGTGCTAATTTTTGCAGCCTCTTGTATAAGAGAAGTTAGACGTTCAGCTTCAAAATCGAGGGATTTTTGATCGTTAATAGTGGTAGAATTATCGATCCGGTTTGTTAAGGTTGTACGAAATTTTTCCCAGTCCGTTTGGGCGGAAAAGAGACACGGGGGTCTTTTAGTTAATACAGGTGTAGCATAGATAGACAAAACGACAGGGACATGATCTTTAGGGCGTACGCCTTTTTTGTTATTCAGAACATCGCAGACGGTTTTGTTACTTAGTGAGAGATTATTAAAGACAAAAAAGTCGATAACATCGGGCTCTTTGATTCCATCCGCTGGGTAAAATGTGGGTTTGCCCGGGGTGATGAAATCACCTCCGATTAAATTTACTGCCGTTTCCAAGTGTCTACCTTTAGGGTTCGTGAGTCTAGATCCCCACCTGACGGATTTACAATTCCAGTCACCGCCTATAATAAAGCGGGGACCCATCCCTTCGAGCAATTCGGTATAATGTGCAACGTCGCAACGCTGTCCGGGCGGTGCGTAGATGGCACCAATTTCGAAAGGTCCTAGAGATGACTCAATCTGAATGACTACAGACTGAAATCTCTCTTCTTCTATAATTTTGATAACGGAGTGTTTTAATGACTCCCTGATTGCTATCGAGGCACCCCCCGCGCTTTGTTAGATGGGTGTCTTGCATTATAAAACCGAAATCCCTTCACATAACCCCTTGATTCTCTGGCAAAGTGGGTCTCAGAAAAAAGGGCAACGTCCATTCTTAATTGAGCCATGGTTTCACTAAATGCGAGTAATTTAGCCGGGGTTAGACCGTTGGCGTTCCATGCAACAAAATTTAAAATATTTTCTTTAGAATTAGAGTGATTCATGCTCGAAAGGAAGTAGAGCCGACAACACGGCCAAGTAAAGCTTGCTCGTATTTTTCTTGGCGTTTACTCATTTCTTCGAG